GAAGAAAAATGGCTTCTAATCTCAACAGTAACCTTCCCTGCATAAATCTGTACATGGGAAGGCTAGCCTGGACTGGTTCCTGAGAACATTAACTTCTTCTCTACCAGGAGCCCCAGGACCCTGGAGGAGCCTCTAGTGACTGGTAAGCAGGGAAACTGCCCCTAGGTCACTGAAACATGCTAGGCGGTCTCTGGCATCCATCCTTTCTTTTGTATTAACTTACCACTGAGGGTCAGCGCCATTTCTCCTCTATGCGAAGACTCCTGAGAAAGCCTGAAAACTATCCCGGAAGGTCTGCATTGGCTTGAAGGATTGTATGAAGAACCATATCCAGATTGGGGCACCTACCCATGGCCAGTGACAAATATATGTGTTCAGAGGGGGGCAGCCTGCAAATAATCTGCTTTGTGATAAGGGCTTTAATAGTAAATGAACAAAGCGTTCTGGAAAAGCCTTTGCAGCTAAAATCCTCCTGCCTGGACACACACGTTTATAAGCTATTATCCTTCACCAGCTCATGTTGTCAGTGGAGTGCTTCTTTTCTTCTTCTTTTTTTTCACATTCATTTATTTTGTTTGTGTGTGTGCATGCACATGCACACTCTGTGGTTTATAGAAGCCAGAGGACAACCTGAGGGAGTTGGCTCTCTTCTTCCATCATGTGGGTCCTGGGGATTGAACTTGGGTCCATCAGGCTTGGTGACAAGCGCCTTTATTTACTAAGTTATTCCTTTGGCCCAGAAGTTCTTATTTCATAAGCCAAAGGTACAAACTATTTTTACCAAGTTTGTACATATCAGTCTTTTTATTGTGAAATCAACTTTAATTCAGAGCCATGATCATATTTTTAAAAGAAATTTTTTCACTCATTGACAATTTCATACATGTATGCAATATATTTTGATTATACTCTCCCCTGAACCCCACCCCCAGAGCCACAGCCCACCCCCCACAGTCTCCTGTAACACATCCTCCAGTCTGCATGATTTCATTCCATCACTGACATTCTATCTGTTCCCCACCATGTCGGCATTCCCTGCCCGGAGAATCTGTTTGCAGTCTCTGGACTGTTGCTGTCTCAGTTTTCTTCTTTGTTCCTTTTCTTTGATAGATCGGAGGAATCTGGGATGTTAAATGGGTCAACACAATAGCTTTTTTTTTTTTAACTTAGTGGAAATTTTGACCTAAAAGTCAAACAGATAGTTGTGAAATTCTGTTCTCCTGGTCTGGCATGAAAGTTACTGTCTTGAAATCAGAACAGTTGTGATTACCTGTACTCACTAGGTTGGACCTTCTAACATTCCTTTGTGGAAGGTGGTTGGAGCTCATGAGACCCCCACCCCTCCCTATAGATATATAAGCAACTAATAATTGTGGGAAGAGACTCTTCTTCCATGGTATAACTGACTATAAGTTGCCCACACGCCTCTAGGTAACCCCAATTAAACTCATTGGGTCACCAAGCTAGAATTAGATAGTTGTGGGGTTTTTTTTTGGTATTTTTGAGATAGGGTCTCCCTGTAGCCCCAGCTGGCCTGGAACTCCCTATGTAGACCAGGCTGGCCTTGAGCTCACAGAGATCTGCCTGCCTCTGTGCCTCTGCCTCCCTAGTGCTGGGATTAAAGGCATGTGCCCCCACGCCCAGCTTCTTTTTTCCAGCATCTATATGGTAGCTTACAATAGTTTGTGATTCCAATTCCAGGGGATCCAACGCCCTCTGCTGGCCTCTACAGGCACCAGACACACACGTGGTATTACATGCAGGCAAACACCCATATCCATAAAATAAAAATAAATCTTTAAAAATTTTTTATTTTTACTATTTTTATTTGAGTGTGTGTGTGTGTGTGTGTGTGTGTGTGTGTGTGTGTGTGTTGTGAATATATGCCACCATTAAAGAGGCACCACAGTGGGGAATTTCTGGTGGAATACCCCAGACCAGGCAGTGGTCACACAGGCCAGGTTTGGGTGCTGGGCTGGGCCAAGGAAAGAAGGGGAGTTTGCTTGTGCTACGTTGGGGCCACCCAAGATGGGGAGCCAGAAGTAGCCAGGAGTGCGGCATCAGGCTGAGAGGTGGAGGTACTCTTTGAGAGGTGAGGAGGTGCTGGCTGATGGTCCAAATTTGGCATAGAAAGCAGTGCCATCTGACTTTCTATCCTCTGGCCTAAGTGTAGCACTTCCTAGTTTCTTCCTCATAGACCTCCCACTAAAAGTAAGTTGGCAGCAGGAGAAGAGGATGCTCTGGCTGGCTTGAAATTCTCCAACTGTAACATTAATTTGGGATAGACTGCAAGGAAGATCAGAAAAACAGAATATATTTAGAAAATCAAATCCTAAGTGCTTGCTTATGGGCTAGTTTCTCCCTACCTTTATTTAGCATTTCAGAAGCCCAGCAGATGTCTGTTAAAAGACCAGTCAGGGTTATCGTTCCAGCAAGTTCCAGCTTCCTTCATTCTGTGAGCATTTGTCACAGAGTCCTTGCTGGCATCAGCAGACTTGGGCAGATAGCCCTTGCCACAGTCTCTCCTTCATGGTATAGTCCAGTGCAGATGGCTGAACATGGCCCTACCCTGGGGAGGCCTCCCAGGAGGTCTTGGCTCATCACTTGAATAAAAGGCCATATGTTCAGCCACAGGCCATCATCTCCTGTGGATATAAGTCTGTCTCTAGCTCCTCTTTCCAAGTTTTCCCTCAACTTTGTTGTGCCTCAACTTTGTTGTGTCCCAAACTGAAGCCGTTCTCTGGAACAGCCAAGTTGCTCTATAGGCTTCCTTCCTGCAGTGAATGACTTTGCCATCCACACTTGCTCCTGACTTCAGTCTAGGTAAAAGTCCTTATTGTATAGCAACTTACAGTTGTAATGAAATAAATAATGATTTGGTTTTTATTTACCTTGTTCCTTCCTCTGCTAGACTGTAACTTTCTTGAGAGTTGAGACCATACCTATCATTGTATCCAAGGCCTGGGACAGGGGCTGGCACATGGGTCTTCAATAAGATTAAAAAATCAATGCACAGGCCTTGGGTTCCATCTTCAGTATCACCCAGACAAAACAAAACAAAACTAACCAAACAGTACTCAGTTACCAGGCTTGCTGGGTAGGCCTGAATGCCAGCTACTTGGGCAGGAGAGGCAGGGGAAGTTCAAGTTCAAAGGACTGGGTAACTTTGTGTGATCCTTTCTCATAATTGAGAAAAATAAAAGTGTAAAATGTGAAAAGGGTTGGAGCTATGTCTCAGTGGTGAAGAACTTGCCTAAGATGCAGAAGGCTCTAGGTTTAATTCTCAATACCAAAAAAAAAAAGGAAAGGAAAGAAACCCCCTAAGTCACCTGATGTTAATCTTGACTGTAACTTCAACCTCAGCCACCTCTTCTTCTGGCCATCATGCCTTCCCTGCATGACGAACTATCCCCTAAAACTGCAAGGCACAACAAACCCTGCCCTGCTTAGGAAACTTCTGTCAGGTATTTTGTTAAGGCAACAAGACAGGTAACTAATACTGTCACCCAGGCTAGAAATTCCAACACCAATGTATATTCCTTCCTCCCACCTTCATATCATTACTAGGCAGGTGCTCTTCTGTATCTGGAATATTCCTCAAACCTGTCCTATCATTACCATATACAGCCAGGACTCAACTCTGTGCATCTGAGCTGTGATAGCTCAGTGACCTTTTCTGTTTCATCTCTTCCTTCTAACCCATCCTATATGCAGCCACGGGGGTGTCTTTGAAAATTAATAATCTGAACCACTGAACCATACCTGTACCCATGTCACTTCCTTAAAAACTTTTTTGGTGGTAGTCAGGGGCTGGAGAGAGAACTGAGCAGTTAAGAGCACTGACTTCTCTTGTAGGTTTGGTTCCCAGCACCCACACAGCAGCTAGCAATCATCCCTAACTGCAATTCTAGGAAATTCGATGCCCTTTTCTGGTGTCTTTGGGCATTGTACAACACAGGTGCACTTACATACATGCAGGCAAAACACTGATACATATAAAATAAAAGTAAACTAATTTAAAAAACCCCACTTTAAAAAAAAGCCTAGTGTGGTAGTACATGCCTATAATCTCAGCACTAAGGCAGGAGGATCAGGAGTTCAAGCCTAGCCTATCTTCACACACACACACACACACACACACACACACTACTCCACCATTCCCCAAAGAAGAAAATTCAAACTCTGTTGTCATGATCTGCCCTAACCTTTGTGTCATGCCTCGTGTCCATGTGTTTAATCTCATGTTTCAACTACCATAAATAGCTTTCCTGTTACCAGATACTTTTTTGTGTTTGAGCATATATATGTATACATATGTGTTTGTGTGTTCAAGTGTGTTATGGATGTGTGTAAACCTGTGTGGGTACACATGGAGGCCAGAGGTTGACATGTCTTCCTTCATCACTGTCCACTTTGTTTACTGAGGCAGGTCTTTTGCTAAATCTAGAGTGCACTGGTTTGCTTAGTGTACCTAGCCAGCTTGCCCTAAGGATTCCCTATCTCTGCTTGAGCACTGGGATTACAGACAGGGCTGCCACATCCACACAGCTTTATGTGGGTTCTGGGGGAATCCACTCTTGTCCTCAATCTTGTGCAGCAAGCATCCACTGAGCCATCTCCCTGGCCCTAGTCCCAGATCTTTTTAATTTCCTCCACATCCACTTTATGGCTCCTCCTTAATATAGTGGCACCACAAAAGTCCCGGGGTGGAGGGGAGGAGAGGGAGGGAGAGAGAAAGAAAGAAAGTAAACAAAGTTTGAGGATCTAGACTAGAGAAAGTCACTAGGTTTCCAGTGAAATAGAGGAAAAGTCTGAAAATTGCCATAACCCTTCTAGCAGTAATCTCTACTTTAACACAGAACTCAGAGCTTAAGGCTCAAGATTTGGGAGTTGGAGGTAGCAGACAGCTCTGGTACCAAAGCTGAATACCCTCTTATACATCTTAGCTCCTTTTGTACAGGGGTGATCTTTATCTTGAACTTTTATTTTTTGTTTTTCAGTTCTCCCATGTTTAGGGGAGTGTGGTTCTTTTGGACATGACATCCACTCCATGAAAGCCAAAGGTGCGGTGCCGGCAGGAAACTGGTCATTGCCTCACTGAAGGCCCACCACCCGTTTAACAAGCAAAACTTGAGTGTTGGTCTGGGGGAATCACTCAGTAGTAGAATACTTGCCTAGCATATGTGAGGCCCTAAGCTCAAGTTCCAATTCTGAAAAAAAATAAAGGATGCTCAACACCTGTGTCTTTCAACAATTCTTTTCCAAACCTTGATCACCACTGTGGCTGGGCACTGATGGGGAGAGGGTGAAGGGTTGTTAGGCAAGCAAGGGCTTAGGTGAGAATCACTGTGAGTTTGGGGCTAGACTGGACAACATATCGAGACCTGTAACCCCCATGACCTCTCTCTCCAGAAAACACCAAGACTGAAAACAGCACAAGACAAAAAAAACACCAGACTGAAAGCAGCAGATAGAAAGGACACACTTCAGCCGGGTGTGGCTGCACACACCTTTAATCCTAGCACTCAGGAGTCAGAGGCAGGTGAATTTCTGTGAATTCAAGGCCAACCTCCTCTACATAGCTAGTTCCAGGCCAACTGGAGCTCCAGGGAGACCCTGTCTTAAAAAGACAAGAAAAAAAAAAAAGTGCATTTCATACCTGGGGAAGTCCTCACAGAAAATCAACACTAAGACATAATCTAGAAAACTCAGTGGCTTTTTTAATCGTACGATCCTCTTGTTTTGGCCTCCCAAGTGCTGTGATTACAAATGTGTCTCACGTTTGGCTGAGAACATGCATGGACCCTGATGATGCAGAGTCCACGTTAGGCAGAGGCATGGTGGTAGAAAACATGTTTGGTGGGGGTGAGGAGTCTGCAAGCAAGTAAGTTTCAGTTTCCTTTTTTTTTGGTCTTTTTGAGACAGATTCTCCCTGTAGCCTGAACTGGCCTGGAACTCACTACGTAGACAAGGCTGACCTTGAACTCACAGAGATCTGCCTGCCTCTGCCTTCTGAATACTGGGATAATTAAAGGCATATAGTACCACGCCTGGCTAAAGCTTCAGTTTCTTTTTTTTTTATTTTTTTATTTTTATTTTTTTGGTCTTTTTGAGACAGGGTTTCCCTGTAGCCCCTAGAGATCTGCCTGCCTCTGCCTTCTGAATACTGGGATAATTAAAGGCATGCAGTACCACGCCTGGCTAAAGCTTCAGTTTCTTCTTTTTTTTTTTATTTTTTTATTTTTATTTTTTTGGTCTTTTTGAGACAGGGTCTCCCGCCCAGCTGCCCTGGAACTCACTATGTAGACCAGGCTGGATTTGAACTCACAGACATCTGCCTGCCTTTGCCTCCCAAGTGCTGGGATTAAAGGCGTGCACTACCACGTCCGGCTGGTTTCAGTTTCTTAAACCTATACTTCCTGCTTTAATTCCCAAGAACATGCAAACTATAACACTGGTATTAGTACTGGTTGAGTATGGATGAGGATACTGAATGACTAAAGAGGAAGCCTGGACACCTGACAGGAGGGTCCTGTAGTGGGACTCTGCCCTATGTCTACCTCCTTTACCCAGTGCCTAGCTCCGTGCCTGCTTCTACTTCTTGTTTATTAAATGCTGGTAAGGTGATGTATAAAATGAGTTGAGGATTACCTGAATTTCTTCAGGTTGGCATTGTTTGGGATAGTAGTAGGTTATTTTATGGTATCAAACAACTCCAAAGTACCAACATAAAACAACAATGTGTTTTCTGCTCATACTCATCCCAAGTTAGGAGGGAGATGTTTCATTTCAGTCAGTCAGGTGCAGCAGTCCAACAGCATCTCAAATATTGTTGATCCCTCTGTCAGAGAAAAAGCTCTGTGGACTGTCTCACAATGGTAATAGATCTGCTATCTGTAAATGATACATGGTACGTCTGGCTAGAACTCATAAGGCCATCGTGACGTGCTATTTGAAGAGTGGGTGATGGGGCTCTGCTTAGATAGGTTGCTGGCAATGAAGAACAGTGTGCACTAATGTTTACAGCTGAGGAAACACTGAGTTTGAGTGGCTTGCCCCAGCTAACTTGCTGTTCATGGGGAGCTGGTCTCTGCATATGGTCCCTCCAAAGCCTCTACCCACTGCCTCACATACTCTTGAGTGTCCACTGAAAAGCCTTTAGTGCTGCTCTTCTGCATAAAGCTGTAAATGAGACACCATCGGGCATGTCTTTCATCCATAGGTTTCATTTGACCGTCTGTGTGATTGTGATCAGCAAGCTAAATCCACCTTTGTAGATAACCTAAGCAGTGCTTAAGAGGGTGAGAATCTGGATCTGCAGCCCAAATTACATACTTTGCTTGTACTATGTCCTCCTCTCTCTGTTGGTCTTCCTTGTGAATTCTAATCCCCCCAAAAGTAGACAGCAGAAGACAGCTTTGCTGGACAGCCACAGGAGTGCAGCTTGGCTAAGAGGCCATCTGAGGAAGGAGGAGCCTGAGCTTGCCTGTCAATGGACTAAACCTTCAAACCCTTCCCCAAAGCTTGGTATTTGGCCTTTATAGAAATGTCCCACAGTGATTTTGGGACATATGTTCTCCACACCCTTCAGGGAAAAATCACCCATGTGTTTTGAATTTCTTTTCTTGCTCAACTCACCAAATGTGGTTACACAAGAGATGGTGGATGTCCAAGGAGATGTCTTTTAAAGTAAATGTCTTTTCCCTTTGCAAATGGTTAATCGCATTCCATTAAGAATTAGTAGCTTGTTCTCGTGGAAAGATTGAATTTGAAGGTAACCAGATGGGAGAGAGAAGTGTTATTTTCCTCTGAAAACCCTTAAAAATATCAAAATCTGCCGGGCATGGTGGTGCACACCTTTGATTCCAGCACTTGGGAGGCAGAGGCAGGCGGATCTCTGTGAGTTCAAGGCCAGCCCCTGGTCTACATAGTGAGTTCCAGGTCAGTTGGGGCTACAGGAGACCCTGTCTCAAAAAGACCAAAAAAAAATCAAAATCTATACAGGTGAAGAATTTGAAATGTATACTTTAGGAAATGTTTAAATATTGTTAAATACAGTGTGTCATATTT